GGAGTTAAAACGAAATTCTAAACAAGCGAAACAAAATTCTAAACAAGGAAAAATGGTGAAAAACTACCCCAATCTCCCTCCAATCTAACAATTAATTTTACATTTTGTAGAAAAGGGTTTTTAAAACAATTAACGTTAGAAGCATATTTGTAACCTGAGATAAGGTTAAAATAAAAATATATAAATAGTAAAAAAAAAAAAAGTAATAAAATGACAAAAGCACATAATATAATTATTACCAAAACAAACTTTGAATAAAATCTAAATATAAACGCGAATTAAAAATTCATTATAATGGAATATAAAAATGCTGGGTTAGAAGTCGAGTAGTTGAATTATTTCTAACTAATAACTTACTGGGTTAAAGATCTACACTAACGTTAGTCAGTTAGCAGATACATACAATGAGTGAAAATAACAGCATTTTATAACAGGCTTCCGTAGACGGGCTTTGAGGCTTTTATATTTTGATTTTGAAACGCGGAAGCTGTCCTCATTAATATTCATGCATCTAACAACAGCCATAGTGGAACGAAACCCAATCCTGTTTCAAATCCTGCTGCAAATATTAGACAAAAACATTCAACATTATGAGACAAACGGATCAATTAACGTTATGTTTGTTTTCACTTAAGTTAACGTTACCCTTTAATCCATCTTAACTGATTTAACGTTAGTAGGAGCAGCCTTTCGGCAAAATAGAGAAAACCCACTCAATACTAGGTCCGTTTTTTAAAATAACCTTAGATGAGAGTCTAATCATGGTGTATATTCGTGCACAATCACATTTATTATAGTTAGTGAGATTTTAACGACGCAGGCAGGCGTGAGAGCAACTCTCGCGGCGCGCAGCGTAACGTACACACTGCTGCAGTGACTAGTACTCATGCTCACTAACCTGCTGTCATCGGAGATGTTTCTGATGAACAGAGAAGTGTTTGGAGGTCGCATGTATCTCGCCATAATAACAAAAAACTGCAAAATTCAGGTCCACAGACGACAAACGGGCTCACAGGCCGCAGACCAGGCTCGATGTGCACACGTACACGCGCATGCGCAACCACTCACTGTGACGTCACCTCCGCTTCAAGAGAGAAAGAAAAATACATGTTTTCCTCCCGTTTCTTTTCGTCAAGCATTTAATAAAAAAAGAAAAAGAAATTATTTTTGCATATTATTTCAAATATATGTTTACTCGTTGACAACGAATATTGTTTGAGAAATGTTTTGGCGTACAGCTTACCTAAATATTTAATTGCAAACAAAGTCAAAGAGGTGTCATTCAAAATGATATTTATTTACCCAGTGAAACATTACTTTTGTAAAATGTAAAGGTGATATAGATTTTAACTGCTTTTTTGTGACAGTTGCCCTGAAACTGTGGTTCATTTATTTTGGCACGGCCCATTTGTAACCGTTTTGGCAAAATGTTTGTGATTGTATCACAAGGAATATAGATGGCCAATTTGTGTTGCTGGAAACGTTTATTTCGTCTTTTTGAGAACTGTTGAGACAATCACAGTCAGGTTTATTATACCATAAACCGTATTCTGGCAAAATTCCATGTTTAAACATGTACGTTTCCTGTAGGCTACAAAAATTCTGTTTTATATCATTCAAGAAATAAATGGAGCTTTATATTGAGTCAACGAAGCAAAAAAACAGTTAAAATGTAGACATTTTTTAAATGTATGAATATCTTTACATAGATCAGAAATAAGACTTTAATTGACTTCAGATTGTAACTGTTTGGTATATGATGTATTCTCTAGGCTAATATTTGTAAATATTAGGTCACATTAGTTAGGTTATATAAATTAATTAACATGACCTAACTATTTGTTACTGTATTTATTAACCTTTGTTTATGTTACTTAATAAAATCCAGCTGTTCATTGTTTGTTCATGATAGTTCACAGTGAATTAACTAATGTAAACAAATACAACATTTGATTTTCAGTAATGCATTAGTAAAAGTTGAAATTAAGATTAATAAATGATGTAGAAGTGCCATTCACTAAGTGTTACCGTCATTTTTTTCCTTTATTTTATATTTTAATGTTGAATTGTCTTTCAGGACAAAACTATTTCAATTAAATGTCAGAATGGGGCAGGCGGTCACATGTTTTATATGTTGTAATTTCATTGAAACTTTATTAAAGCTTGCTATTTCTGTTTACATTTTTACTGTTTCATGAATTATTTTGAACTAGTGCAATACCTGTGCAAAATCAGTTTTTTGTGTGTTTTTAGTATTAAAAATGTTTTTGTGAATGATGCAATGAAACCAAAAACACAACAAAATCACACTATTATGATAAATCAGAGCTTTATTTAAATAGCCAGTGATTATCAAACTCCTCAGATCTTTTTGCTCTTCCTGACCATGGTGGTTCCGGCTACTGTCAGGGTCTGGAAAATAAATACCCAGAGAAAATAGAAATATAACAAAGGTTCATATTTTACAGATTTAGACAGTTCTAAGCTCTAATGAGTGACATGCATCTCCAGTACAAACCTCAACCATCTCTCCTCCCTTGATCTCCTGGATGTGAGAGAATCGCTCCGTGTTACAGACCAGCTTCCCTCCCTCCAGTTTCACAATGCACTGGAAGAAA